TGTGAGAGAGAGGGTGCAGTTGCTGTCATGGCCTATTGGTAGGCTTCCATGCACAACTGTTTGGACCCTGTGTGCACAGAATTTTGGCCAGGATAGGCCTTTGTTTAATTTAGCATAGCTCTTATATCCTGGTATTAATTGGAGGATAATCCTAAACTGCATTGAGAACTTTTCTTGAAGTGGAAAGGAAGTCTAAAATCCTGTAAAGAATAATTTGAATAAAAATTTGTTATTTGTTACATTGCTTTCAGCATCCTTTATTACTAAAATGTCAAGTGTGCCTATGAATCAAACATATTTATTATTAAATTTCAGAATTTCAGACTACATTTTAATATGGATGGGAAATTTTCAGAGCGAAACAATTAAAAGGCGTTCAGTTTTCTCCCCCTTTATCTAGATGTTGCAGACCATGTTCGATCATCTTCTTATGTCATATTTGATATTTTCTTCTTCTCCTCAACCATGTAGAATCTGAAATTGTCCATAAAGGCATTATGGAAGTTATAAAATGTTTTTGTTTTTGACTTAAGTACTTCTGTGTCTTCTGTTTCTGTCCATTAATTTTATAGCCCATCTCTTTTTCCACAACATTTATCAAGGCTGTGTTGCTTGAGTCATCTCTAGCCATATGATATTTAGGATCTTTCCCACAGCGTAACTGTTTAACCATATTTCCTTCAATCACATTTTCATCCTGGTTATGAGAGCCAGCATAGCATAGCTGTTTGAGTGTTGGACTGACTGTGGAAACCAGAGTTCGATGCCTATCTCAGCCATGAAACCAGCAACAACATTTTTATAATATAAAATGCCATTCTTTTCAATTAATGCATTTAGTGCATTTATCTGTTGTCTCTCCGCCTGCCAGGGCTCTTGGTCAAAAATAGATAAAAACATTTAAAATATTAAGTGCATGTTCGCACACGCACACACACACACAACATTTGCTTTATGAAACAATATAATCTTAATTGCTCATGAGAAAGTCACAAACATTGCAGCCAGCCTGACTTCCTTTGGAAGAGTGTTTCACAGTTGTAGTACTGCCACAGAGAAAGACTTGTCACATGTAGCCACCAGCCTAGCCTTGCAGGGTGGTGTTAAATACAACAGTGCTTTGACTGATGATCTCAGGTTTTGGGCTGTTTCATATCGGGGGGGGGCACTCTTCCACATATTCTGACTGCAAGCCATACAGTACTTCATAGTTCAAAACCAGCTTGTTGAATTGAGCTTAGAAGCAAACTGGAGGCAAGTGCAGTTCTCACAAGTCTAATGATCTATATGGTCTCTAAATTAACAGCTGTACTTGTGTATATGTGTGTGCCTTCAGGTCAGCTGTTGATTTATGGGGCACCCTATGATTTTCACAGGGCTTTCTTAGGTAAGGAATACTCAGAAGTGTTTTTGTCAGTTCCTTCCTTTGAAATATAGCCTATAGCACCTAGTATTTCTTGGCGGTCTCCCATCTAGTTACTAACAAGGGTTGACGCTGCTTGGCTTCCAAGATCAGAAAGAATCTGGTTCCTTTAGGGCAGTGGTTCTCAACTTGTGCTCTGTGGAGCCCTTAGGGCTCTGTGAGTCAAAAAGGTTGAGAACTCCTGCTTTATGGTATTTAGGCCCTTACAGCTTAATTTACCCCTACTTTTTTATTTTGCTTATACTTTCTCTGCCATTACATGATACTTTTCTTGGGTTATTGGACTGCGATCTCATTAATATTAGATGAAGGATAGTGCTATAGGGTTTCTTTCATGTGATTCTGTACTTGGCACAGGTCCAGACTGTGGACATGTCTGTCTTCTGGTGTTAAAGTCGTCAGTAGTTCCCCCCCCCCAACAGAAAAGAAAGAAAACCATGAGTGTTGTGAATGCTGCGTGTATAGATTTCCTTATGAGAAGAGACTGTAGCTCACTCCATGTAGAAAGTCCAAGATTCTGATAAGATACTGCCATGTTTTATTTTTTAAAATAGTATTATGTAGTTGATGGGAAATTTATTTGTGTTAGACCTTAGAGAGTTGCTGTCTGAATAGCCAGTGTTGAGCTAGATGAACAAGTAATCTGATCTCGTATAAGGCAGGTTCTGTAGTACAGTTAACCCTCCTTATCCGTGGATTCTTTATCCACGAATTTGACCATCCGTGGCTTGAAAATATTTCAGAAAAAATATAAATTCCAAAAAGTAAACCTTGATTTTGCCATTTTATAT